GCGGGGCCAGGCAGGGTGAAGGCGGTCCTCGGGCAGCCCTGCCGGGCCATGGGATGGGATGGGGTGGGATGGGGTGGGATGGGATGGCATGGCATGGCATGGCATGGCATGGCATGGCATGGCATGGCATGGGAGAACGTCCCTCGTCCCCACACGCAGTCGCTGGCCGGGGAAACACAAGCGTGAAGCAAAGGGCTGTGCTGCCCCGGCCTCCCACCAGACTCGCAAGGTGACCTGCTCTTCACCCAGGAGTGATGCATAACCAGAATGACAGCATCGGTGACAAAACTAAGTGCATTTTTAATGCTAATTCTGAGCTGTTTGTTCAAAAACAGAGATACAGGCGTTACAATTGTTTTCACCTCATCTTGGCCCTCTGGTGATTGCCAGTCACTTTCAAAGGGAAAGAGATGCGGGCTGCAGGTTCCTGCTGAGCATCACACCGTCCTGGTTGGGGTAGCCCTGATTTAGATTGCCCTGTGGGAATAATACGGGATGTTTAAGATCACACCTTCAGAACACTGCATGGTTCCTGTCCTGAGGATTGGTCCTTGGGCATTTTGACTCTTAAGTGATATCACCGGTCATTTACAGGGTGAAGAACAACATTTGGTGGGTGGAGGAATATACATACCTGAAGATTAACAAGGTTTTTATCTAGGCTGACAACCGCAATCTACCAATCTGCTGCACAGAGCACCCAATACCCCCACATCCCACTAGCGTAGCTCCCCATGCCTGTCTCACTCGAGCCGTTGCGGAGATCTGCCGAGATCAGCCGTTCCCTCGCTGGGAGCAGCAGGGTCTGTGAAGTGAGCCTGGAGGTCATCCCCTCGCTGATGGCACGGCGGGGTGCTAACTGGTGATGGAAGCTCTTCCCCTCCCGTTAGAGATGTGTATAGTGTGTATAAAGTACAGGAAAGGGATATTATTATTGTACGAGAACAATCAAAAAGTTATGACAAACCAGAGCTGATGCGGCTTATTTGCTCTTTATTCAGTCCTCCCGAACCAATGCATTAGGAGATGGACTTTAATTGCATAACCACATGCTCTTTTTTTCTTTCCCCCCAGGGTTCTGTCTTGTTCAATATGTTAGAGTCACTATATGACTTGCAGATATAGAGGGGTTTTTTTCTGTGAAGGAGAGCTGCCTACAAAACACTTGCTTTACATGTTTCAGAAGTTGAAAGATGTCAAGGTAACAAGTGAAGGTTACAGAAAGTGACAAGATCAAATAGTTAAGGCAGAAGAATGCTGCTTTGGAGAACTGGACTCTATTCTTGCCAGTGATATAGTCCTACATTATATTAATGAAGTTTTTTTCAACCTAACATTTCACAGTTGTCTAGTGATTTTGGTTCCTCGTTTGTTGGAGACCGACACCAGGGATCCGATTTATAGATGCGCTGAGCCCTTGCCGCAAGTAAAGTTACGGTGGTCATGCTTTGTGTGTTTTATAATTCTCTGCACTCTGAGAAGTCAAGTTGTCTGAAATCTCTCTCAGTTTAAGCACCCAAGATAAGATTTTTGTAATCTCTGTGCCTCAAGGCTGCATCTCTAAAAGGGGGGTGATAACAGGTCCCTTAGTTCGGAGCGATTTATGAAAATAAATTTAATAATGTCTGCAAAAATATAATGATGCTGGGGTGCTTACTGTCATGAGGAAATTAATAATCCCCTCTTCAAAAAAGGATTCGCTTAATGTGCAAAAAAATAAGTAAAAAAGATTGAACAGTGGAAGAAAACAAAGTACTGAACAGATGAGCACTGTCCATCCTCAACACTGAATACAGAAGAAAGCTATGAAAACATGGCACTTGATAGTCTGTAATGGCACAACTACATTAAAAATCAAACCTAACCTTAATTTTTCAATTTTCTTATTTTTGAGTGCTTGTCTCTGGTACTGAGGTAATTCTCGGTGTAGTATACTTTTCCACCGGGTAATTCCCATGTGTGCACACTGCAGATCCCCGCTCATTAGCTAACTGCTACTCGTTAGCAGTTTCTACCTTTGCCAAACAGATCTCTCTAACGTTATCTGCAGTAGAGTGTTTCCCAATAATATTATGATAGGTTGCCATTCTAAACCCAATATTTAAATATCCCTCTCATGAACAATCCTCCTGGAGAACAGAAATGCCAACGGACATAACAGCCACCCTTCTGGAGCATCTCTGACGCCCTGTCTCATTCTATTTTTGTGCAAACCATTTCTCTTCAGTAGCAAATGGGAACTCAACCTCCATTTTAATTATTCATGTTGTCCATCTTTCCTGCTGACTCTGCACCTCTGCTCAGCAAGTATGTCTTCGGATGAGTGAGGGGCTGAAAAGCAAAGACTCCTAGATGGAAAATAATGGGGTTTGATGTTTTACAATAAAACTTCAATTACATGGTGAGACTAGCCAAAGCGCTTCTGGAGAGAATTGTTTATCCGGTAACATTTTCACCTTCTACTGCAGCATAAAAGTCTAGGGCTTTTTCAGTCGGCTTCCTCTAAAGGGACAGTCCTAATGAGTATTGCCAGTCTGTCCTTGTTAGCAGGAGGTGTGGATTACAGATGGAGAGCAAATGAAAGCTATCAGGTAAAATGAGGAATTTATGCACACTGCTTTTAATGTCAAAGAAAGGCACCTTAAGCAATGAATATTTAGACAGATGCATTCCATTTGTGTGTTTTAAAAATGCATAAAATACTTAGATAAAAAACTGGCACCTTTTCATGCCCCGGTGTTTGGATGCCATTTAGCATCACCCTCCCCCCAGTGGGATTATTTTTATGTGTTTCTCTGATCAGAGCTAATGAGGAATCTCATCCTACTAGGCCCCCTCTGCGAGGCACTACACACATATATACCAAAAGAGACTGCCCCTAATTTACAATGTTCGTTATCTCCAGTGGATACAGGACTGGTAGCGCTGATCACTCTGATCATGTTCTGGGTACAGTGGGGACACCACCACCAAGGACTCCCTTTATAGTCTCAAATAAACACAGCTAAATTCAGAGGACTACATCTACAAATGGAAGGAAACCCATCTTTGTGCACATCGCTAGCAGTCCACAGAGACAGAACAAATTAACTAGCTATACGCCATCAGGTGAAAAGTGTTGCGTATGTATCCTTATCATCATACTCTGGGCAGTTTCCAAAGCATACCAGAGGCTGCTGAACAAGGAGATCATCACAGTGCTTTGCGTTCTGCCAACCTGCGTTTGAACTCACAGATTAGTAGCAAAAAGCTCCAAGTCCCATTCCGTGTTCTGAGCAAATCTAGTTCTGCAGTGAAGCACAAGGAAGATTTAAATTTCTATGCTAATGCAAAATTGCTGGGCTTGAATTACTTACGAAATGAGCGATTTGCTACTGGGTTTATAGTAAATAGGAATGGGAAAATATTCTTTTAAATGCTTATCTTCTGGTTTGGGAGAAAGACATCCAAAAATGAACAAACCAGTGTTAGAAAATTACGGGCAATGCAAGGAAAATGCTGAAATCACAAAATTTTAAAGGGGGAAAGGGAAGGTTTGAGGGGGCTACTATGAGTTCATCCCCCTTATTTTGTTTTAACATTTTTGCTTGTGAAGTTTCCTTCTTTCCACCCTGAAAACAATGACAACGTTACCAGTATCTTCAGATGGCATTACACGTGCAGTCATTTACAGAATAGCTTCCCATAGGCCTCAAAAGCCATCGTTGAATCATGCTTTAGAAACCCATAGCACGGCCAAATTGCAAAATTCTGGTTTTTAAATCCTTAATCAGGCACTTTTGCTGACTTCAAAGTCTGTTAATTTCTCTTTTCGTTCAGTGCATCTGCCTGTACTTTTCCTTTTCCTGAGATGCTGTTTTCTGCACAGTTTTTATAAATACTGCTAATCACATGCATTGACTACAGAAAAAAATAGCCAGGCTTGTGCGCTCTTTTTTTCTCCTGGAAAAATGCCAGGGGGAACATCTAACTAAAGTGGCTGCAATGATGGCTGCAGCTGGTGCCCTTTTCAGAACTGGGTCCCCCCTCGTTGCTCTCAGCTCTGGGCTGCAAAGAGCAGAGAAGCTGGGGGACAGCGAGAAGAGCGACGCTCCTGGCATCCTCAGAGCATTTTAATACACCTCATCATGCTTTATTAGAGTCACCTGTTCAAAGAGATGGGGAAAAAAAAGATGAAACCTTGCTAACAATGTAAAAGCTTCCAGAAAACAATTCATCTCCCAATAAAACCCAAAAGGCTATCCCTCAAGAAGTGAATAAAGACAAAATGTCAGGATGCCACATGGCTGCTAACAACTGCAGGCAGGAGGGGAAATGAGCTCCCAAGCAAGGAAGCACCAGCTATGGCACCTCGCGCATAATCACGTATTAAAACCACACGGAACTCCGGCTGCTGGCTTTTGCGTTTCTGCAGGCATCTCAGATCTTAGCATCTCTGCTGCTGCAATGGCATTATCAACGCAAAAGCCCACGATGCAGAAGGATGCAACGAGTCCAATCTGGAGATGTTGGATCACCCAGAGGGGACTGGTGGGAGAAGCAGAAGCTGCCCCGTGTCCCGAGAGCCGCACGGGTCAGGCACAGACCGAGTTCGGGCTCTCAGGTAACCCTGGAGCACGGCCTCCATCCCGCACGGCTCTACCTGTCCGCGTTTGTTTGCTGGATTGGGAGTCAACGGGTGTTTTAATTCCAACCCGTTTCACAGGGCAGATGAGGGAGCAGAGCCCCGGCCCCGCTCGTTGCCAACGAGGAGGCAGTGACCGCCGGCAGCCAAGGCTTGCCCAGGAGAGGGAAGGGAAGAAAAGCAAAGCAATCGCCTCCCCGTGCATCCTTTGTATTGCACATGCCTAATAATCTAATAATCCCAGTCTCTGGACCGCACCACAGACTTGGCGGTTGTAGAA